TATTTAATGAGCCTCTGATACCATCTATAACATTAGCAGAATTCTACATAGGAGTACCAACTCCCCTAATGTGATTTTTAATTCGATCTAAACCTCTATTAACATTTGTGATAAGATTGGTCGTTGCCATATCTAAAACATTTATTGAGATTTTTTTATCTATGAGAATCTAGATTCTTGCTTTAAGACTCCCAACCTTATTTTCAAGCTCTATGATTCGTCCATCTTGAATAGACCCAACCTCATCTTTGAATTTCTTATCCTGTTGTAAAACCCTAAGCTATTTTCACAAATCGGATATTTCTGATTTAAGTTTCTCTATCTCTTTCTCGTGAGCTATAATAGTATTATCCTGTATTGAAATAGTTCAATAACATTGCTCAAGCTATTTACTAGAGATTAAATTTTTTTCTCATTGCTCTTATTAATAAAAATCTCATCTTGAAGCTCATCACGAAGCTTCTGATTCGTATCTAAAAGCTCTGAATATGCTGGATCAAACATGGTATTTCATCCTAATTTATAGTACCATCATAATAATCCTATCTTGAGAATGAGCCAACCTCAAATTATAATAGATCCCGATGAAGAGCTCCGTATAGTTTGTAGACTTTTGTTTTATAATATACCTAGTTTTTATCCCAATGCAAAAAATTATATAGAGTGTATCAGGAGGAAGGATATTTTTTTCGATTGCAAAATATCACAAAATGGATAAAACACCAATATAGTTACCAAATATATCGACAGCCATTACCATATAAAACCGAGGCAAGTTTTTCAAAGATTAAGATTCTGAACAAAGTCCATCAATGCGATATATTGCTTCACACTCATGATCAATATGATAGATAGGTATTTGTTTGTATTCTTCTAGTTATTGATGTGGCAACGCATTTTAAAGATGAACGCTCACTAACATCAAGAAATAGCTTAGAAATCTGGATTGCGATTAAAGATATCTATGAGAACCCTTCTAACCCCTTACATAGCCAAAATTATTAATGACTGATGGTGATGCTTCGTTTTGAGGTGCATTTTCACGAGGAATGGAACAATATAATGTCTCAATATGTGTTGTTGACCTTTATAGTTTTGAGAGCTTAGCTTTTATTAAAGTGCTTAAGAAAAGAATAAGCAATATTAACATATAAGGTCCAATATGCTATAGAGGGACGATTAACTGATGAGGAGCGATCAAGGATATTTAAGAAAATCCTTAAGAAGTATATTAATTATCTGAATAATAGTAAGACTTACCTTATTGGAATGTCACCAGCTCGTGCTATGACTTTGAAAAAAGTTGAGTCAAAACCATCTAAAAAACCTAAGCGTGCAATCGGAAAAGATGAGAAGATAAAATTACAAAAAGGTACAGCGGTTAGATATCTGTTAAAAGCAAGTGAGTTGGAAGGAGATCATAGACGTAGAGCAACTGATCTATATTGGAGCTTGCATGTCTTTAAGATAAAAAGGGTTGTTATTGGGAAAAATCCATTACAGCCAGTCTTATATTATCTTGAGGATGAACCTATTGAATCAACTGCTCATCTGATAGGACAAAACCCCAAAAGGCCCTTTAAATATGAGGAACTTCAAGAAATTAAAGAGCCTGATAAAATCGAGTATCCACCAGATGAATTTATGCGAAAATATCACCCTACTGGATTCGTTCATTATGTTCATGCTTCTAGTAAGTCAGTTCAAGCTGAGGATTATGCTATGAAACGTGGTGGTTAATGTCTTAGAAAGACTGGGTAAATAAATGATCATGATGTATATCTTTGGTCTTATAAAAATGGTGCGTATCAATGGAAGTATCCATTAAAGTATATCATAAAAAAATTCGAATAGTATCCTCTTTACCACCATAGAAGCGGTGAATGCCAATACTGATATATTTTTGAGGATCTGTTAGGGAAGAAATTCCCATCATGTAAGCCAAATTTTTTGGATGGAATGCAACTCGATGAATATAACGAAGAGTTGTGACTAGGATTCGAATTTCATAGCAAGCAACACTATAGTCTTAATTCAATGTTTCATAGGAGAGGCCAGATAGATTTGGATGAACAGAAAATACGCGATCAGAAGAAGCGAGATATATGCAAGGAACAAGATATATGCCTTATTGAAGTACCTTATACAGCAGATTTATATCCGTATATTAGACATACACTAATTGAGAAAGGGTTCTTAAATAGTTCTTCCAGTTAGGTCGGATAGAATTATTTTCTTGGCATTTTCTGAGACTGCGCGGTCTCGCAAATTTGCAAGATTATTTTAGAATATCATTAGTAATAGTTCAACATGAAAATAAAAAAGCTTGAACCAGTTGATAGGCTTGTATACCATATTAATGAGATTAAGGATGCCAAAAAATATAATGGGCATTTGAGTGTTTCCCAATAGACTTTCATTTTACTAATCTCTGGCCGTACTAATTCAGGGAAGACTAATGAGATTCTCAATCTCATGCTTAGAAATAAGCTTTATCAAATGTTTAATGGGAAGGAAAGAGGGACATGTTATATCAAGAATGATGATTTGCTATTAATTGGCCACAATCTTAAGGAGCCGAAATATATGTATCTCAATGACTTTTTGCATTAATTGATATTAAAAATGGAATCATGTAAAAAATAAATATGCCTGCCAAATTATCTTTAGAAATTGCAAAGCAGATTGCAAAGGAGCGGGGAGGGGATTGCCTTTCCAAAGAATATATTAATTGCATGGTTCTAATGGATTGGATCTGTGAAAAAAAGCATACTTGGACCACCAGTTTTAATAGTGTAAAAAATAATAAAACTTGGTGCCTAGTTTGCAAAGATATCCAATTAACCATTTTAGTTGCTAAAGAGTTAGCTTTGAGTTGAGGTGGAAAATATCTTTCAGAGAATTACATTAATAATCGTACTCCTTTGCTATGGACATGCAAAAATCATCATCAATGGTATTCGCCTCTTTCTCAAGTTAAAGACTCTGGACATTAGTGTCGCAAATGCAATTATAATAATATTGAAGTTGCAAAAGCATTGGCTCGTACTAGAAATGGAGAATATCTTTTTTCAGAGTATTTTGACAATAAAAGTCCTTTACAGTGGAAGTGTATTAAGGAGCATATATGGACTGCGAACCTAAATAAAATAAAAGATTATAACCAGTGGTGCCCTACTTGTGGTAGGCGAAATCAGACTATATTTGATATGAAAATTCTAGCACAAAAAAATAACGGAGAATGCCTTTCAGATCAGTATTATGATGCACACACAAAACTTTTATGGTGTTGCAAGAATTTTCATATATGGGAAGCTCCTCCACTAACTATTCTGAGAGGTAGCTGGTGTCGATACTGTGCTGGTACTGCAAAACTTGATATTGAAATTGCTAATCAAATTGCATTATCGAGACAAGGCTAATGCCTTTCAGTAGAATACAAGAATATAAGCGCACCACTTCTATGGGCTTGTCAATATAATCATCAATGGTGGTCCTCACTTAGTAGTATAAAACATTCTGATACATAGTGTCCATACTGTGCAGGTATGGTCAAACATACTCTTGATGATGCTAAGCAAATTGCTCTCATTCGGGGTGGTAGGTGTCTTTCAACAGAATACAAAAATAATAAATCTCCTTTATTATGGATCTGTAAAAATCAGCATAAATAGTATGCAAAATTCGATAATATTGTGAATAAATGCTCATGGTGTCCGTATTGTAATAAGTATAAACGTAAAAATCTATGTCGTCAAATCTTAACAAAATATTTGGACCCTCCATCAGAAAATCGTAAGCCTGATTTCTTAAAAACACCAGAGCATTCAATGGGGCTACAACTTGACATTCCTTATTATCACTATGGTTTTGCAATCGAAGTACAAGAAGAACAGCATGATAAATATATAGAATTCTTTCATAGAGGAGACCCGAATAATTTCATCAGACAGCAAGAGCGGGATCAACTCAAGAAAGAATTATGCGAAGAAAAAATGGAGTATTATATATATCATCTTAACGAGACCAAAAATTTAAAGAATATGAATCACCCTGCAAGTCCTGCGTTTCCTTTTCGTTTGTTAATTTGCGATGGATCAGATAGTGGAAAAACTAATATGATTCTCAATCTTCTTCTTGGTAATAAAATCCAACGTTTATACAAGGAGAAGAAAGGAGAGCGATATATCAAGAATGACGATCTAGTTTTAATCGGAAAGCATATCCATGAGTCCAAATGGGTATTGGTGAAAAACTGCTATGAAATTTTTGCGAAGGGTCCAAAAACATATCGGGAGAATGTAACATTTCGTGCATTAAAAGCGAATGCAATTCCAGACATAACTAAATTTTCTCCAGATAGGAATACAGTTGTAGTCTTCGAGGATCTTTGTGCTGAATCAAAAAAAATTCAGGATCGGATTGTTCCATATTTTATTAGTGGCCGACATCAGGGTGTATCAAGTATATATGTGAGCCAGAAGTATACACAAACTCCTAAAATTATTCGCGAGAATATTTCACACTTAGCTATATTTCGAGGCTCAGGAAGTCGTGAAGATATATGCAGAATTGTGCGTCAATATACAGATGATCCAAAAAAAGCATCCAAGATAATTGACAAACATTTGCGAGATCGGAATTTTGTGGTCTTTGATTTTACTAAAGCAACTGATGATCCTCTCGCAATTAGATTAGGTTGGGATACGCCCTTAAAATTGGATAAATAGGGTTCGTTTCTGCCCTATCGTATTTATGCTCGTGTTATATTATATTCCATATACAGGTACATAAAAAAATCGCGTGTTCGAAACACTAATCAAGAAAAATTTATTATGCACTTCTCAACCAGGTGTGGACGGATTTACTTTATTAATATTATACACATTTTACATTTTTTTCAAGGTTAAGATAAAACTATGTATTAAAAGATTACCTGCAAGGTGGGTTAAAATCATTATATATAGCATTTTTTCTATCTAATTCAAGTAAACATGTATTCATTTCGACTTCTTCTGCTTTTTGGGTCGATCTGGTGTTGATTGGTTCTGCTTTATTGTATGTACCCTTCGTTTGGTCAGCAACTTTTGCTTTTGTTCAACATATGGTCTTTTCACTTCGATATTTTCTCTCATGAAGGACTGATCATAAACCGGCATTAGTAAAGGGTGGTGAATAAATGAATGAAACACTATTATACTCACAAAGAACTTAAGACATGATATGATTACTTCGGAAAAAACAGGGAAATCTTGCCAAGCTGTAGGGATCTTGAAAGTTCCGTATTCGCGAAGACAATATGATTTCTGATGTATTGTTAGCCAAAATAAAGATACTTCAGTGCGATGACCGAAAGCACCGAAACTTGCAAGGTTTTTGTGATCATATATTCCGTCTTTAAGGTGAAGGATTATTCTTTGGTTCAGCACATCTCTCATTGTTCTAATCAGCTTATAATCATGAATGTAAAGTTGCGTCAAATGATCGAAGTCCGGGGGTCCTGTTTGTTCGTATAGAAATACTTCTTCACGACTTAACCAAAGACGCGCAAGCCCATCTGCACACTTCGCCTCTAAGACTTTATCAATGATTGGATTGATGTTTGCATTACGACGATCTTTGCTACTTTCTACTGGCACTTCAAGACTATAACAGTGTAATTTCGTAAACTTAATAAATGCAAGTAAATACTTCCCAAAGTGGATAATCAGAACTTACATTCTCCAATCAACGTTACATATGGCCTTTAATGTATACTTTAATATAGGACTAACGAACTGAGCATTATATTGATTTTCTCGTAAGTCTCCTGACTTCAATATGTTGTAAGGCGCTTCAAAGGCTTCAATACTAAAAAGAACTCAATGATTATAACGTTTCACTTACAACGATAAAAGGACAATAAAATAAAACATACTATGGTGCAAGTATATGGTAGATTGCATCTGCCAAGTCTTTGTGAATTTTGTTTCCGTTGATTTTTTGGTTATGGAGATCACGCCAATCGCTTATCCATTCTTCTAGACTAACCTTTGGCTTATTTTATTTTACCAACATCGGACAAAATAAGTAACAAATATAATCAAACTAAAAACATTTCACCTTTTCCATGATTATGACATACCTTGAAGAATTCTTGTATAAAACTTTCCCAATCTTTAGGTAGATTATGTTCGGGATATGTACTTAACACAAATTCGCTCCAAGATTCTTCTGAAATTTCCTTCGTGAAGCGTGAAGTCGGTCGCATATCCATGATATCGCTATGACATAGACTAAAAAAATGAATAAGATTACTATTTCGATTCTATATTAACTATAAGAGCCGATTTTACTCACTCAAAGATGTCTTCGCATTGATCACGGTAATCTGTGAAAATTATCTCCAGGTCAATGTTGCTTACCATCAATGGAATTCTCTCTACCTTTCCAACCATCGATTCCGATGCCTCTCTCAAATCATTCTCTGAATCTGTCAATTCGAAAATATGTCAGCCTTATGGCGAACCTGTAGCACAAGCCATTCATTTGCAACGTACCACTAGCTATGGCAACTTCCCCTTGCGGTTCTCCACTCTTCTTGACTGCCGTTGTTGATTCTTCATGCTGTCGTGTATAATGAAATCGTTAAAAATTAAACTCAAGAAACCCTCAAGAAATTCAAGGTACAATTTTATACCGGAGCTTCGTCATCTTCAGGTAATGGACCATCCTGCATTAATTGCGTCATTTTGTTTTGATAATCTAATATTTCAGAACTGGCATTTTTGAGGGTGGTGTGCACGTGACGTTTCTATTTGCGTGTACAAATTCAGAGAATTTAGAATAAAGGAACTATCTGGCATCACTTATATAGCAAACAATTTCAGCGTGATAGAAAACAATCCTGCTTACGAGCGTTCGATTTTGTTGCATTTTCGAATGAATAATGGACAAATCTGTTCTGCGTAATTTTCTATATTTTTGCCTACGACTACAGAGAGTACGTAGATTAATATAATATAAATCACTTCACTTAATAACGATAACTCTTACATTTTTGATTTCCTTCACTCAAGTATTAAAGGTAACAATAGAAATAAATAGGAATAAATAGAATAAATAGGTTAGTCATACTATATCATGATCAGAATATGTAATGAAATTTCACACAAATTAGGAACGTGAAGCTTCTTCATGATTTAGGAACGTAAACAGAAAGAGAAAACTTCCGGGTTTTCAATTCAACACCAAATAATTGGTGGAAGCGGAACCCCTAAGCATGTTCGCGTATGAGCAAAGCGAAACTTCGACACTGATTTAGGAACGCGCTCATAAAGGCGACTTCCAGGTTTTCAATTCGACACCCGAGTAACCGGGAGGAAGCAGAACCCCTAAGCAGTGCTATGTTGTCAGATCTAAAGAAAATCAATGAAAAACTTTACTTACATGTTAAAAGCGAATTTTATTTCAAAGGATTACAACACAAATCTTTTTATATTTCGTGGCATGTGATTAAAAATCAGGAGCGGACTGCGCCGATGAAGCACGTGCTGGGCGATCGTTTTGTATAAGTAAAATATTTTGGAACATCTAACCAGAAAATCGTAACTTATTATTACTTTGCAGATTATACATGCTTATTTGATTGTTGATATCAATGATATAAATAATGGTTCTAAATCTAATTAACCACCTTTCAATGCAATCAGATCATTAAGGACTCAAAACCATATCGTGAAAATATTATAAAATCCCTAAGGTGGATTCGTTTTCTCCAGATAGGGCTACAGTACCCATATTCGAAGATGTATGCGCTGACCCGAAAAAAGTGCAGGAGAAGATCATCCCTTATTTTGTTGAGGGGCGCCATTACAATGTCAGTTCGATATATGTATCCCAGAGTTACTTTGACTGCCCAAAAATAATACGAAAAAACCTCTCACATATCTGCCTATTTAACGGGTCGTGCACTACGGACGAACTAGTCAGAATTGTGCGTCAATATGCTAATGACTGGCGTAGTGTGATTAAGATTATTGATAAGGCATTATGTGAGAAAAAATTCATTGTTTTTGATTTAACTGTACCCCGCGAACATCCACACAGGATACGCCTCAGCTGGGACCAAATTCTTGAAAAAAGTGCCCTAGCTAATGAATAGAATCCCCCTCAAAGCTATTGATGAAGTGAGACGAAATGCATATTTTTTCCGGACTTCTAGGTCATATTCAGACTCGCTACGCCTCTCCACCCATAATTTCCTTTCTTTAGTGCTGGAATATATTTCCGGTTCTATATTTATATCACTATATCTTGTGTAAGAAGAGATCTTATCAGCAAAAGCGATAATTTTCCTGTCTTTAGCAGAAATAATATCCTTCAAATGCCGGCATTTATTCTCTAACATATCAATGGACTTTTCTGCTGATGCAATAGCTTTCTTCGTATCAGGAATTATACTTTTAAATAAAGCTACCGAATCTGATAATTGGGTGACTTTTTCACCACTCTCCTCCAAAGACCTGGTCATAGCTACCTCACGAGACTTATACTGCTCTTGCAATTCGAGAAGCTCTTCAATCCTTTTTTCCAATACCTGCTTTGATATACACAATTCCTCATTTTCTTGCCTTAACGAAGTTTCACAGTCACTAGTAATGGGCTTCATCTTCTGACGCTCTTTTTGCTTAATATAATTTCCAACCGCCTTATTTAACAAACCTTCCACTTCGGGATGAATACTACTTGCCTGTTCTATCGATAATGAATGTTTTCGTGAAGTAAGACGTCGCCATACATCTATTTTGATGGAATGAGGGAGCTGGTTAAGTTGTTTTAGTAATATACGTGAAAAGATGGTGTTAGTATACCGGTCATTGTTACTATAGGTAACTAATAAAAAAAATTTGAGAATTTTATAGATTCAGAAATTTTATAAGAAAATTTTGAGAATTTTCCCGAAGATGCTTTGCTACGCGCCAATATCACAAATTGCGTCACATCAGATAGGGATCTGCTAGAAAACTCCACGTTAACTGATTGGCAAAAAATTCACATGATTTTGGCAGAGGTGCCCCGGCTGAAATTTGCCAAAAATACATGATCACGTCTTTCGTGATACAGATAATAAGTTTTTAACTATTTCGTTTTGCAATTGCTTATCTTCCAATTTCGCAATTCTGGCCTTAAGCTCAGCATTCCTGGCTTCAATCTCAGC